CTCTTCTTATCGCACAACACAGTTATTGATCCCGACCCATCCAGATCCTGATATTCCCTTTATACATTCCGTTTCACTGTCCAATTTTTTACGGTTCCTATCTTTTTAGGGTCCATTTCGATACCACCAGATTCGATAATGAGGCCTAGATAGTTTGTGCTTTGAGTATGAAATTTACACTTTTCTGGCTTTAACAGAACACCTTCGCGCCGGAGGGCTTCCAAAACCTTGTATACGTGTACTTAATGTTCTTCCAGGGAGTCACTGTAGATTAAGATATCGTCTATGTAAGAGATGCAGAATATATCCAGAAACTCTCGTATATAATCGTTGATAAAATGTTGGAAGGTGGCCGCTGCATTTGTAAGGCCGAATAGCATTACAGTGTATTCGAAGTGGCCGTATCTTGTCCGGAAGGCCGTTTTCCATTCCTCACATTCTGCCATTCGAATCTGATTGTACCCTTGACAGAGGTCTAGTTTTGAAGTATTTGGCTTTTGAAAGGCGATCCAAAGTTTCCTTAAATAGTGGAAGCGGGAAGCGGTTTTTAATGTTAAGATTATTTAGTCCTCGATTATCCACACACAGACGTAATTTTCCGTCGAGTTTTTTGACGAAAAATACTGGAGCTCCCGCGGGCAATGAGCTAGCTCGGATAAATCTTTTTTGAAGATTTTCTGTAATATAAATTTTAAATTCTAGTAGCTCCTCTCTTAACATGCCATACAGAGGGCCAAAGGGGGGTTCCTCGCCACTTTTTAGTAGTATTTTATGGTCATAAGTGCGGCGTGGTGGCAATAAATTTGCCAGGGAATCATCCATCATATTGCTATATTTATGATATTGGAAAGGAATATGTTCCTTTCATTTTTTTGTTCAATATTTTCCATTTTATTTTTCTAGAAATTATGGTTTTTCTGTGCCCGAACTGACAAGAGCCGCTGAACTTTTTAAGTGTGGTAATTGTCGAGTAATAATTCCATTAACAGGAATTGGATTCGTGGTGGAATTACATTTTGAACGACAGAGGTTGGAATTAAAGAAAATTGTATTATCCTTGAACTTCACAAGTGGATCATGCATCTAAAGCTATGGGATTCCAAGGACAATTGGATAGGTGCCGAGTTTTGTGGCAAAAAATGGTACTTTTTCATGGTGAGAGTCAATTTCTAATGGTAAATGGCAAACCTGAGTGACATTGCCGGAAGTGATAGCTCGGCCATCAATCACTTGTAGAGCGCGAGGGAATCTTAATGGGTATAGGGGGAAATTATGGCGGCGCGCGAAAGTTTCGTCAATAAATGCAAATCCTGAATAACCTGTATCTATAAGTGCGTGAGTCTGTATTGTTTTTTCATTTGTTTTTAGGTTTACAAGCTGCGACAAAATAGTCGCCATCTAGCTTATCTTCATCAAATGATCTTGAGTGATTAGACATAGTGAATGCATATACGGAAGAAACTAAAAGAGGTCCCGGATCAGGTCCATTTTTTAAAACCGGGACTACTGAAAACTTGACTCAGATAAGGTGTCATCTACATTTTCTGAATGATGTGTTGAGGGTTTTGGCATTAAACTTATCCCGATAATTGATGCCTGATTTTTGGGGCGTTAGCTGAAGGACACTTGTCGGAGCCATGTCCCGTCCCCGCACAATACATGCAAAAGAAGTTTTCTCGAAGCCATTGCTTTTCGCCAGCCGAAACTTTGCGGAAACCATTAACAAATGAGTAACATTTTTCGGGAGCTGGTCTAATAGTGTTTGTGGGGTGTAGTGCTGAGAAGTCCATTGGAGCTAGACCGCCTGCAACATGTGACAGGTGTGCAAAGTGCGTGTCAGCCATGTGTCTTGGTAAGTCACGAGATGTCGATTGTTCAGCCTTGCGGCCCCGAATTTGGTTGTCAATTTTCATGAGCATTATTGCGTAATCTTCGACAATCGTTGGTCTTTCTATTTGATACGTCATTGCATCTTTCAAATCTTCCGATAAACCTCCTGCCAGTGCATCGATTTTTGCCGCCTCATTATACTCCTGGTAACTTATGACTTGAAGAAACTTCGAATAATATGTCGCAAAATCACCCGCCCCCTATTTGATAGAAGTCAGTTCGCGACGGGCAGTTCTTCGAGGATCAGGGTCTCAAAATGAGGCTTCTAAATACGACAAGAATGCAGCGACAGATGTGAATGGCTTCTCTGGGTTTGTGTTAACTAGAGGAACAATCTGATCGAGAGCTTGTCTCTCCAGACGACTAATTGCGTAGATAACTTTGGCGGACTCGTCGCGGAATATATCGTTATTTACTTTAAGCTTCATCCGCAATTGTGTGGTAAATCCGGGCAGCTTGTGTTATGACCTATTTACATGCATTTGCTCTGCACATTCATGCATGTGCTATTCTACCAATCAACGATGTCGCTATGCTTGTGCGATTGTTAGACATCGGTGGTTGGTCATGAGATTGTATCGAACCAATGAGGAAGGCTGATCTCTGGGAGCTGTGATCAGGCACGGGATTGATTGTGCACGGATAATGGCGGTCCTCGGTAAAGACCAACATGTAGATAGATAAGTGGTCGAGTACCGCCCACAGTGACACATACACAATCACTTCTCTTCATATTCATACTCTAGAACATAAAATCCATTCCTGAGTCATCTCACATAGATAACCTGTGGCATCAAATATTATACTGTCTCCGAGTCCATTCCCAACCACTCTCCAGTACTCATAATTCACAATAGCTTGCTCTTTGAGCCGTTGAAATTTTCAGGATCCGGGAATTTCTCGGAGCGAAACGTCGAAGCTGAGCCCCGGGTAGCTCTAGCTAAGTTAGAAGGACTGGATGGTGTTGGAAATGGAGACACAGAGTGTTGTGGACGTACGGGCCCTTCATTTCATCTAGGTTCCCGACACGATCTTGTGTGTATTTTGGAGGTTTATATGTGTAATCTGGTAGCGCTTCAGGCTACCTACTGGATATATAAGTGGCTGTAAGGCGTGGACACAAGGAGGTTATTGGGGGTTTTTTATGCCTAGATGGCGCCACACTCGCTTATGTTGTGGCATAGGCTACGTATCGCTTACACTTGTACTTGTGGCGCACAAATCCCACACTTTTAGCTATAATCCGAACATGACAAACTTTTAGTCAACTTCTACTTTCGTTCCACAAATATTGCGCCCATTTCATTCCGCTATATTTCCAACATATAGATGGCTAGCCATAGCAATATTTAAGTCAAGGCTCATCTGGTTGTTTTGCTCCTCGAGACATTCTATCACCTGGCGGACAGCCATGAGCTGGGCTTGGATCGTATCCCTTTCAGTTCGATATTGATTTAGATGACCGTTTATGTATGCAAATAAGGCGTCAGCATTACTCTCGAACTGTTGCTTGAAATTTTCGACTGTTGTAGGGGGAGCCCAACCGCGAGAGCAATCAGTGGTCATGTTGCACGGCGTGGATAAGGACGCAACGTAATCTCAGGGATGAGGTTTGGACGGTGTTTCACGGGGTGCGCTAGATGGTCTAGTAAAGTTCTAGGCGGCAAGTTAAGATAATAATTGGGTCAAAGTGGTGACAGGTCTTCCCTAGAAAGGGACGAATAGGCAACTAATTGCAGTAGATGTTACAGTGATCGCCCAATTTCCAAAATTTGGCCGATAATGCTGAAGCTAAGGCGGGGGAACAGACGTTTATATCAGAGCCCTGTTCTGCCTGAGTCGCGGCAGTTGGGAGGCGTTCCAGTTTATGCCTTCCATCTTTCTTGATTCAGAAAATGTTTGGTATTCTGAAGGCTTTATTGTCGGCATCTACGGCTGGAAAAGATCTTTGTGACTTAAATTTATCTTTGTCTAGAAGGTTTGCGCTAGTCGTCGGTCCCTGTTTCCTCTCCTTGGTTTTCTACTTTCGGTTAGTACGAGTGGACTTCTTGAAGTTATTGACCAGGTCTGATGAGGTTTGGAAGAGGTCATGTAGGTTGATAGGAACTTTGATCTCTTCTGTTAGTCTCACATAATCTGCTGGGACTTTTTCCCAACGGCCTACTATTCCCCGTACATCCCGAATCTTTGCCTATCCTTTCTTTGCTCTGCCGAATCTCTTGATTGTCGTTTGGAAGTCGTGCTCGTCATTAAAGATGTCCTCAATGCGTGCTCTTTTCCTGGAATTTTCAGCAGACCCTGCAATGAGTGATAACAGATCTACGATGAGTTCTTCTTCGGATGCCATCGGTTCCGATGGGGTTGGCATTCTTGATTTTCCCTTGTCCAACAGAGCCAACTTGATATTGTCACTAATCGTCCGACTCTCTCTGGTTTGTACTACGTGAATGTCCACGTTGTAGCAGGCTACTTCTTGTGAAGGCAGCGGGCCGTCTTTGGTACAGTCGTACTCTTCGGTGTAAGTCGTTTCATCTTCGGACAACATTTGATAGAAGTACGATTGGTCTGAATACAATTTCCTTCAGATATGCTTGTTCCGAATACGGCAAGAATTTGTTGTGATATTCCCTCCGGTAGTGGCCAAAGTCCCCAAAATTGATGCATAGTATCCCATCGACAAACGGGTTATAAGTATGACGACCGGAGCAGAGCACAGGTTAAAGGATGACCAAGTCGAATCAGGCACACACTCAATTCAGGAATATAGTTCATAAGATTCCAAACTAATGAGAGAAGGTAAGAAAGGTATCTAGAGATTTACAAATATTGTTGGAATTTAGAATAATTGGAGCTATCAAGTAGGCTACGTTGTTGATACACACGTGACTACAAATTCTGTACTTAGTTTCACTTCGGTAGTTACTTGAATCAATACGCTCTACAACCTCAATGACTGAGGGGTCATTATTTCCTTAATAAGAATACATAATTTACAATTGGTCCGTGCGCATATAAGATCACAACACAATACCCGAAAGGAACAATAGTATCAGGAGCTCCTAATGTCGGGAATACAATTCCGTAAAAATGAGGTGTGGACCCATTGATAATTAAGTGTAATGAGCTTGATGCTGGAGGTATACCCGAGTGCGATGGTTTCCTGTTGGTTCCGCCCAGTTGCCGGTATCTACTGTTACTATGAGGTGCTGTTGATTGTCGGTATGAGGGTGCAGTCCCAGAGTGCATGGGAGTATTCTTTGAGCCCTGGCTCGACTGAGAACCCAGCCTGTATACTGACCTTCCTGCATCTATATTGGCAAGAACTGAGACGGCGGAGCGCTCATATTGGCTCGAAACAAATTCTTCTAGCCTTGATAGCCTGCTTTTGTCGATCAGTTCCTTCTTAGTCTGATCTAGTAGCTTGATAGATCTCTGGGCTGATTGGATGATCTCAAAAGCTTCCTAAAGGGCTCCGCAGGTAGCTCCGTGTTACGGCCTTGTACTTCCGACCTTAGGGACCCTTGATACTATTATTCCTTTCGGGTATTCTATTATTATTTCTATATGCGCACGGACCAGTTGCATATTATGTATATTTGTAAATCTCTAGATACCTTTCTTACCTTCTCTCCTTAGTTTAGAATCTTATGAATTATATTCCTGATTTGATTCATTATCTGATTTGACTTTGTAATCTAGTAACCTGTGCTCTCTTCCGGTCGTCATACTTCGTTCCTTTAGAGGACACTCTGGCGAAGTCTAGGGTTTCACAATACTATGACGTATGCATTCACTATGGTGTTCAGCATAATAATTTCTAGCCTCGTCAAGGCTGGGAGCGCTGAATTTTCGCGCGGGCTATCCCTGCAGTGGGCTCGGCGGAGTAAACAGACTGCTCGATGATGATATGCAGTTAGGGTCTCGGGCTTCTGATCATTCTGGTCGTCCTTCTTTCCCTGCGCGAATTTCTGAATTTCTGACTGTGTGAGCTCACAAGTCTACTATGCATAATAAGATAGCTGTAAGGCACACAAATCAAATATAGAGTCTTTTTAGGCCGGTTGGCACTGTGGTAAAGCTTTCTGACTGCAGTTACATGTCTACTGCGTGTTGTATGTGGCACATGAGACCCATCGTATGGTGCGTCAATCACAAACAGTCCATTCTGTTCCACATTGCCTTCGAATACTTTAGGAAACTCTTCCGTTAGCCACTCGCTGACTTCATATGTGTTTTCGGGTCTGGCATTTTTCCGATACTGATAATTCTTATTTTCCTAGGTGTGGCGGATAATCTATCAGCTACATCACCGTCCACAAGCATCTTGATAGCCGCCGGGTATAAAGCTCCTGATGGGGGATCGCGGCCTGCTCTGCGGAAATTATGTCTCAATCGGAGCAGCCATCTGGACGCTGGAATACTGCCGTTATAACTTCAGGATCTATCAAAGGTTGGGAGCGTTGGCTCGGGGTGAAGAGCGTAATTGGACATTCTTGGAGCTTTTAAAAAGTTTTCTAAGACTTCCCCACTACTGTTTAGAACAGAGAGTGGAAGCATCCGAATTTGAAGAATGAACCCCTTGTCTGGGTTGGCTAACTCAGTAGAAGGTGGAGCAGTGATACGTGTTGAACTAGAAGCGGAAAAATCCCAGTTCACTGACATGGGGCAACGGTGAATGTCGACTTTGATTTTTAGGTGAAACTGGTAGGAAATTTTTTAATCACGCTGGACGCAGGATTTGAAAAACGGAATTGAAGAATGATATCTGTTACTCCACTAGAGAGCGTTTAAAGATTTGAATTCTACATTCGATTCTTGAAATATATCTAGGCTTCGGTCACGAGAATTGAACTCGAATACATGCGTATTGAGTGTGTCTCGCGTCTGAGGGACCAGAAAAGCGCGTAGGTACGTTCGGAGTCTGTGCCATTGATGCTCTATTACCCCGGACAGTGTTGGATGGTGCAGTGGTACACCATCCGGGCCGTTCTCCCAAGTAGATACTGAATATCTTGAATACCTACCCCATCTGAAACAGGAGAAAGATGGTCGAATCCAGTAAAACCCACACACCACTCTTTCTCGCGGTGATATTGTATTTGTGGGATGATGAAAGCACGCTTGGATAACCGTAGAGTTTTCACGCTTTTCCCTGTGGTGGGTATGCACGGAAGAAGTTATTGCCGTAAGGGTTAACCTCGAGTGATATCTGCAAGTGAAATCTGAGTGTGAGTGTTCTAAACGTCAAATTGAGCCGTCCTACTTAAAGTACATATCTTTCGATAAAAACCTGCATGGGCCTCAAGGCACCAAATCAGGATAACTGAATTATTTATTTAAGACGAGTGCTACGAGTCCTTACTTGTTGTTAATAATTCATTGATGGTTAACATGTAAATAACCATGCTGTTGTGTGCTGCACGTCGACAAGAATTCCGACAGCAAGTAGAGGTGAAACAAAATTGGATATACCGGTTGGTTGTTCATTAGTCTCACATATCTGCGAAACGAGACAGACGGCACTGTTGTGTTGGTGGGAGTATTGTATTACGTCAGCAATCCCAATGGCGACGTGGGTGGCTCTTGATGATTGGACCAATGTGCGGTAAAGAGCAGTACCACAAGGATTCGGAACAGAGCGTTAAGAAAACGCTATTTCTACCGTAGATAGGGTCTCATGGCCCGCTCGAGAACTGTACTGAGCTGGTAGGTATTCGACGCATTTCAGTCATCTAGTAAATAAGGAGCTAAAGGCTCAGTAGTGATCAAAACTAAAAGTTTGAGTTGAATTTGCAAGATTTTTCTAACTGGGGAGTTTTCATCTGCGTTGTGACCGCACAGAGCGTGTGTACCAATAAACTCCGGACTAACTGCTTAGTACATCAAGCCCATCCACGGTGTTTGCGCTCATTGAGATGTCTGACCATGCCAGCTCCAACGCTCACTGTGCAGACCTAACAAACTGTACAAGTCTTGGAAGAGCCAACAGCCTCCACTATCCCCGTCAAGTGATTGTTCCTTCTGATCGGCGTACACGGCGTCATCTGTCTCTCTCATGATCGCTGTCTATACAGTACTCCCGAGAGTGGTCTCCTCGGTGTGTAACCCCAGCAGAGTCATTTTGTTTCCGTGATCTTAAGACAGCCTAGGGTTAGATGCTAGAAAATGTTGTGCGGATGGGGTAGATTCGACCGTTATGAGTCGTATTCACTCACTAGGGTTGGCGAACGTCATAGAAGCATTGAGGACCTTTGAGATGGAATAGTAAACATATCGTTTTGTTGGAGCGTAGAGCGTGTTGATTCGTTTTGGGCTGTCAAATTGCATGATCTAATTGTTAGCACAGGAAACCTCGGCCATCGAGCGTTAACCAGAAAGAACCAATATAGCCCTCTCCTACCCAGACTTTGGCAAGATACTTTCCACATCCGCTCACGAAAAAGCAAAGCTTGTATTTGGGAGCATGTTTTGCCGACTAAGTCGCAATAGTTAGCTTGAACAGGATTTTAGAGCTTGTTTTTTCTAGTTTGTTGAGCCTGTTCCCATTGTTTTCATTTTGCAGCCAAATTGGCCGAGTAGATAACAAGATACTGGGGGTGTAACTAATGAGGGTTTGGCTATCCAGCATTAGCGATGAATCTTAGCGCGGCACCGGGAAGTTAATCACCCCCCTACACTCCATTCACCTTCCCGCCAACAAGGGATCACATCCAACTCTAATATTTAACGGAACCATTTTCTTCATCTCTAGGTAGCGGCGTTAATTTCAGATTTTCGCCAAATTTCAGTCAAATCCCGCCATCATCCTCCAGACGCTCAGGAAGAATTATTGGATGCTGGTATATCGCCGTCATCTTCTACCTTGGATACGATCAACTACCAAGATACGATCGAAGACGACCAATAGCTTATAAGTAATGGTTTGACAACAAGCTTTAATAGCTCTTAATGTGAGACTCTTGGCCATTCAACCGATTCATGTCATCTGCATTGGCCCTACAACATTACAAATTTCATTCCTGATCTCCGCATGCACGCGAAGAGTCATGACAGCTCAACTTTTAGCTATAAACTTCACAGTTTACTCGCTGTATCCTTTACTCGTCATGAAATAGCTGTAGGAAGCAATACTTTTGGGTTGCTAATGTCTCTGCTTCTCTAGTAGAGATAAAATTGCCCCAACGCTTTATTCGTACTCAAGGGCTGCTACAATATTCGTTCCTGAGCGGTAACTCCTCAGTAGCAATGTGCAAGCCACTTCATGAAATTCTTACGGAATTCAAGGAAAATTAGCGATGCAGATACATCCCAGACCTAGCCTTGGCTTAAATGACCCCAAATTAGGTACTGATTTTCTTCCATGCCATCTTCTATAGAGTTATCAAAGCTATGTCGAACACTGTATATCTCGAAAAATCCTAACGAAGCTATAAAATACTGAGAATTCTCCAAGTGGCCATGGCAATTATCTTCTTCCATGATGATTTTCTGCTTGCAAACTCTCTAACGATTTCTTTTAGTATTTGTCTTACCGCCAACTACATTTTGGCATGAGAAGTTAGAAGATGCAGAAAGAGGCCAAATATATGCTTTGTTCATTGGCAGTTATTTGCGAGAGCTTGGTGATGTTTAAGAGTTTACATATTCGTATCTAGCTTGCCAACACTAATAGTCTCCCAATGGCCACAAGTAAGCAAGCGATAAACTGTGGTCCAAGTATGGCCAGCGGTGTATGAAAAAAGGGTAGAAGCAGTCCGTTGGTACCCAAAAATATTTGCATACCACTCGTGCGCATTAATGGTAGACTTGGAGCTCTTTATGTCAGGTGATGAAATTTGGTTGGTTCTATTCTCTCCCGAGCCACGGAGAGAGCTAAAGGTCGTACTAGCATAGAGTTCTGCCTGTTCCAACTTCACATGACTCGAGACTTGGTGGTCCCTAGAACAATAGCTTATGGCCCCTTAGCAGCACGCCGATTAGGTCTTATAGGACTGAACTTATCGGTACGTGAACAGCTCACGTGTTGTGAGTGGGCGGGCCTTTTTTATCATAAATAACTAAGGTTGACAAGATTTGAAAGGCCTCTCGGAGTTGTTTAAGAACGAATGCCGCCGATTCGTCTCTTCTTATTTCACACTATTTTCGGGGGCGCTGCAGAGTGCTTTCTAGTGTTGGCGAGCCATAAATCGACGTGCTCTCGTGTGGGTGGAGAAGTGATTTTGTCGCCTCGACTACGACGATACGCGGTTTAGGGTTAGAACAACGAACCTATTTTGCACTCTCATCCGGCTTCTTCCTTACAGCTTGGCAGAAATCTCAATTTCCTCTTCAAAGATACGTAAATGCCAGCCTGCAGGCCTGGTGGAAAGAGCCAGGTATTGTAGCACTATCCGTCCGGTATCTGAAGGCCCCTGGATCCCGATATCTTTGTGCTTCCAACGGGACATGCCGGCTTCCTCACAATATCTTAACCTGATTAAATGACTTGAGGGTAATCACATATAGCCTGTATAACTACAAATGCAAGTACCTAGGGCATCACTAAATTTAATCTAATCCTTGAGCTATGAGGTTCTATAGCCGATCTGAGAGCTTGGGGAGACATTGGCGGCATGCTGGCTAGCGAAACCGCCACTCGGAGGCACGCTGCAATCACGGCCCTTCCCTGGCTAGATTCGTTAACGACCCCTTGCAAACAAAATTGGCGCCATCAACTATCTTGTAATACTTTGTGCGCGTTCGCCATGCTCCTGTGCAAGCTATGGCGGGGTCATCCCATGTGGCAATATTCTGCCGCTATCCTCACTCTCGTTTCCGATCCGATCATGCGAGGGCAGGATAGAACTATGTTATATCTCGAAAATTCTTGCCTTTATTTCAATTATCTCACACGGCAACCCTCGATGAGAAGCGAGTAGAAACCTATGCACTAGTTAGTAGGGCGGTCTGTGGCGTTGCGCCTTAGCAAAATGAAACGTCGTAGCGGCGGCACACGGAAATAATTCCGTATTCTGTATTGCTTTGTCAGGAGCTCCTTTCTGACCTGCACCTAGAAAATCTGCTAATTAAATATTCTCATTATTTATACACTTTTTTGGCGACTTTTGTCATATAGACCGGGGCGCTTTAACAAATTATGATCATGACTGAGGTAGTGTAGTAATTAGACCCACTAAAGAGTTCTATCAATTGTCGCTACAAGATATACACCCATGCGCTGGTGAATATGCAAACGAAATTTACCAACGTTGCTTGTTAATTCTTGATGCTTCGTCCTAAGAGTCTGAATCAAAGGACCAAGTAGATGACTCTAAAATGTTCAATCCAATCCGCCAATTTCTTTCCCGCTGGTCTACCCCATTCTGATCTCACTGATGAAAAAGTCTACATTCACTTTATGAACGGACATATGTATCTATATCTCAAGAAACCCCACGACCTATAGAGAGACAGCTTAAGGAAATCCATTCAAATGATGGCGTCAAAAGTAGCGTGTTTTAGCTTCTAAGTTTCCTTCCGCTGCTTCCTATCTCTATTCCTCAAAATTCGTTTGTTTTTTCTCGCTTCTTCCAGTACTTTATACCTATGACTCGAATATCACTTAGAATAATGTGCTTATTGTTGTCTCTTTCCAAGTGCGACGAGTGCGCTCGCAACTGTTTTGACGTCCAAGAGGCACCGTACACAAAAGCCGAACGGCAAATATAGACGTTCGAGAGATTACTCAGACTTAAGATTCAGACCCTAGGAGAATCAAAGATTTTGAAGGTATACTTGGAAGCCGAAACCCAACCCTAACCATAAGCGCCAAAAGCCGAAAAAGAGAGGATCTGGATCGATCCATCAATATAAATTTGACCCGCAATAGTTGCCCAGTCTACACACTCCCAGCACCCAACGTAGATAGTATGAGGTGTAGGGTGTGCAAAAGCGATGTCTAAAAAAGTTCAGAACTGTATCATAGGATTAAACAGTTTCGATGCTTCTTTTTTGGAGCGGGAGGTTCTAGTGCAGCGACTATAGCCTGTTCGTATGGTCAGTGTAAATGATCGTCCGTTTATATTGACATTTACCTCATCGAATACATCCTTTAACTTATACTGTGTCAACGCGCTACATTCCACATATCTAACCGCACCCAAATCCTTAGCCATTCTCTCCCCATCTTCTCTTTTAACTGGCTGCATTTTCTGTTTGTTTAACTTTTCTCGAACACTGAGATCATCTCTCAGATCTGTTTGAGTGCCAACAATTAGGCAAGGGACTCCGGGGCAGTGATGATGGACTTCAGGAAACCATTTCTCGCGAACATTTTCAAATGATGCAGGTGAAGTAACAGAGAAACAGACGAGAAATACATCAGTTTGCGGGTATGAAAGGGGCCGTAAGCGATCGTAATCTTCTTGACCAGCAGTGTCGAATAGGCCAAGGGTATATGGCTCATCGCCAATCCTAATGAAGTGAGTTCACGCTTAGCAATGTAAGAAATATTAACCTACATAACAGTAACAGCATAATTATCGAAGACAGTAGGAACATATTCGGAGGGGAATTTGTTTGTTGTATAGCTGATGAGAAGACAAGTTTTTCCTACGGCACCATCGCCAACAACAACACATCTAAGAGACATACAGTCAGCATCAGTCTTGAAGGTTAGATCCAGACCCGTAGAAATTAGTTATCCTGATAGACATGAAAATTACGAGAGAAACCAACTTTATAGTTGCGACCACCATACTGTGATATTCCTAGGGTGTACTCCGCCAAATGTTTTTTCCGCTATCAATCCGAGTTCGATTTTGTAACTCCAAATTTCTCTGAGTTGGAAGACTTTATTCGAAGCGTATAGATGGTGAGCACAATTTAATAGCTTTGTGATTTGCCCTTTCTATAGAACAACACAGCTTGATCAAGGCGTTCTGGTCAAGGTTCCACGCTTAACTGCGGGCTTAAGGCTTCCTTTTCGGTGCAAGTAGGATAGGTTGCGCGAAGGATGATGGTAATGATGAAGGTGAAAATCTTAGTGAATGGGGATTAGCGCAAGGACGAAGGCCGAGATTAAGAGGCTGGTCGTCGCAAGAAAAGACTATCGCAAATGCCCGCAGTGAGAATGGGATGATTCGAGAATTCTTTGTTAGCCTATCGTTTTCATAGACGGCTGGTCCTGGAAGTTAACAGAACCGTAGGGTGATCAATGTCTGATGCTTCTCCTGGGTTTAGAGAAATGAGTTAACAACTGGCGAGAGATCAAGCTGCGCTGTAGACCACAGCATAAGGAATTTTCTAAAATCACGCGCAGAATTCAAATGCAGCACAGTTCTGTAAAGTGATGGTGACGAAGATTATGGTTGCAATGGTAATGGTAGCAGAGGATCCTGATGATTAAGAACATATGATTGCGAATTTAATACTTAAATTATAGATGAAAGAATGGGTGAGTTTGTGGACGGTATCGTGCATGCATGCATGTAGTCCGGAGGAAATCAGGTCGGTAGGTAATAAAACGATGATGGGAAAGGCTTTGGTTGGAAACTGGTATAGTCTTATCGACTAAAGAATTGCGTGACGTACTTGATGAAATACTCCAACTCAGATTGTAATATGCACAGCCTTAGCTAGATAATTATTCTCCCACGTCTATTGGATTCTTGACCAAATGATAATTTACGTACTCTGCCTTTTCATAATCGTTTACAATTTATACAGTATTCTATCGTGAATTCTCGAATCACGTACTCCCAGATACGCTTTGTTAATCCCAACGAAATTCGTCTCATGGCTTTCGAAGAACCATTTCAGAAATCAGTTAGCTTGCGTAGTCAGTCAGATAAAATAGACTGTCTACTCGTGCACTACCTCGACCTAATTGATCGATACGAAAAACTCCGGAAATCACTTTGTAAACTTCAGAGCTCAGTAGGGACATGTTACACTCCCTTTTCTCGGATTTTTACTGAGAATTTCTAGGTGCTTCAAAACATTTCCAAAGCTAATTTCAATGCGAATAGAGGTATAAGATATGGAGAGGACCTCTACGATACACGAATGCAAGCATTACGGTTGTGCAGTATCAGTAAGGATGAAAAAAATGGCACTTCGATATTTACTGTAGATGCCCCCACTCAACCAGACTTGAAAATTGATTTGGAACCTCACGATATAGGCACAAAAGAACATGGTAGAGAAACCAAAGGTTGTCCCGATAAAATGAATGAGAATAAAGGTGTAACAAATGACTTTCTAGTTAACAGAAATGCAATCCGTATGTTTGGGATTCTAACACCTCAGGCACTACGTCTCGCTCAAACCGATTCCGTAAAGATGGTGGAAGAAATCATACCAAAAATAGCTACGGTAAACGCAGAAATGATAAAACTTGAGGTTGAAATCTACCGAGCTTGTGAGCTCAAAGCCATTTCCGTGTCAGGATAGCACTGGGCGTAAAACTTGCAGGATTCAAGATGATGGATGATTTTCCTACTGACTTCTATTTTGTGATCATATTTATCTCAGCGCTCCAGCTTCAAGTTTGAAGCTCAAAAATATCAACAATGGAACAAATACACTATTTACTTGATCAAGCTAGATGTTTCCTAGAAAAGAATGATTCGAAAACTGGGGACTTTACCCAGCGCGTCAAGTGAAAATTGCTCAGTGGCTCCTAGTATTATACTTTTTCATTGGATAGTTCCCTAGCCTACATGGTACCACGAGGCTGATGATTTACGTTTGAACTTATTTAAATTGTAACATTTCGACAAGATAGAGGAAGACTCGAGGTTGTTCCCCGCATAAAATATTTACTATCTAAACACAAAGATTCAGCAAATTTTTCAAAAATAATTGTAAGAAATAAGGAAGAAAAGGGTTATCCAATCTTCCTACATTTTGTTGAATCAGTTATTATCCTCCTGCTTATCTGCATGTTATTTTAGAACAAGCTGAATCCTTTTGAATAATCACGCTGTTATTTATGCCGCTTAGCATTTTGGTACATCGTTTAAGCTGGTATCTGAAGCGGGTTGCTAGCTTGACTACTTACCCAAACTGAGATAGAAGATCACTTACTGAAAGATAACAAAGCTTGACCTAACACCTCGCAGTCTTTAAATCTAATTTGAAGATTTAATACACTACCTATGAGGGGAATACACGGCTGAAGAGAGAATAAGAGTGGCTGTAAAAAAGACTTAGCCTTAGTGCTAACATATGTATCCCATGGAAGATAGGCTGAATATCTGTCAGTGGTATCCTCTACGAACCCATGTGCGAAATGATCTCTCAGAGCCAAGTTAAGTCAAATTTTGCCATGCCAAAGAAGTTGGCCCACGAGGCGACGATTGAAGATACTCCACCAAATCAATTTTTCACTCCCTTCGACATCAGTTCCCAACAAAAAATAGTTGAGCTATCAAGTATGACTTATTACTTCTTCATTTCAATAACCAAACCTCTCGTCGACTTTATCTGGCTTCAGCTGATCACCAAATGCACACCCACGCCGATATTTATACCTGCCGGATGAAGCAAAGCGTGGCGCACGCATTTGTGCGGCAGTTCTTTGGGATGGATGTGAGAGGTATCAGGACAAGTTTAAAGAATGACCCAGATGATGCAGATGTTGCAGAAGATGGATATCATGGCGACGGGTGTGAAATTTTTAATACTGGCAAGGAGTTTTACGAATTGAGCTTTGTGCGCGCCAAGACTTCGCTTGCGAGAGTGCAGCTGACACTCTAACTACAAGCTAACTATGGAAGGTGCCGTTGTCCGCCCCCTAGTGGTGTCCTGGTATAGTTTGAGTAGCCTGTACACCTACTCCACTTGGGAAGAAGCCGCAGACCACATTTCGCGCGGAGAAAACTCAATGGAAGATGGAGACATCTGGATAACTCAAACTTTTTGAAACGTTCCCCTGGGTGGGCATTCACGGATTAGGGCTGACTTGGGGTGAAGAAAAAGCCGCCATAAATCCGCAGTGGTACTTGCAAATGAAATACAAGGCATGATTGCTCTTGTATATTGAGTCATCTGTTATTTACTCTTTGTTCGATATTGAGTCAGCCATCTAAATGCATATGCAATTAAATTCAGATGTAATAATAATATGTGTCGCACAATATTAGTTTACCCATATCATGTTTATCACTTTACATAATAGGGTATTGGTGGAGGAATTGCCATTTCACTCATTAAGTCTGATAGGGTAAAGGTGCGAAAAAATGGAATGCTCAATCCGATAAATAATTCGGACATCACACCTTGGCCACATTTTAGAAAACAGGTTCTCCAGTGCATCTTCCATCAAGTAATTTTAAGCTAGCTTCTGAAACGTTTCGGTTCTAAAATCCTTTACATCCAAGTGTGCTTCAAATCTCACCCTTAGAAAGACAGCCACAAGTGATCTGAATCCGGGCGATGTCTTGTTCTACTAATCTAAGAGCTTGCTATCACGTTTATCGAGATGAATTAGAATAAAATTTTACATACGAACTTCTGAGTAATGGCGCCTTGTCAAGGAGTAAATAGTAGGCACGTCATGTCCCTAGAAGCTGGCATAATAGCGTCAGATGGGACACTAGTGTTCGTCGCGCGGGCGCAACGGCGGCCGGTGCTTCCTGATACCTTCAGCAGGCTTGCGGCGATTCGCGAGAAATTGAGCACTAGTCCCAGTTAACCTCGTCGTGTACTTGCCTCTATTCAATAGTAAGCCCCGAGACGCTGGATCCAGTCATTTATCACAAGTGCGACTGGCAGAGTTACGCATGCTACACCTGAGACTCTTAACTACCGTCACCTCCGCCGATTGCCGACGCTACAAGGTCGACTGAGAATACAATGTGCGCGTACGGCAGAATAGACAATGTGGCAATCGAAGTTGATTTATAAACACGAGTAGTGCACCTATCCATCCTCGGACATTTACCTCGAGGGCTCTAGTGCGGCGGGGAAATAGTGAGTAAAGGCAGGGGTTGATATGCAAATCTTATCGGTGGCAGGGCGCATGGCGTATTAGCTGACATTATCGTGCTAGTGATGGCTAGCCGTCGATGCTATCAGAGCAGTCCATTCTGACGACAAATGTCAGCCTATCTAATCACTGAGTACGAACAACTACCCCAATCTAGCGACTCGAAAGCTATCGGTAGATTTCAGGTCAACGAAATCTTTTGTACCATTCGCCATGTCTTCATCCCTAGATTCTGATTGCGCCAACTACGGAAATGACATTCTATCATCCGAGAGCATGAATTTACTTCTTCAAACGCTATGTACGATCGATAAAATTTTTATCGATTGGTTTTGGGAATGATCAAATCTGAGCTACGGGCATTAACAATCTGCCTTCTGACCAAGTAGGTGCAAAGTAATGCCAGCCGTTGAAATACAACATGGGATGAAAGCCAGGTTATTTGAGCTCTGTTCTCGTCTTGTAACCGGAATTTTTGACCAGTTTGTGTCAGAGGTAGGTAAAGGTAACAAGAAGCACTGAGTGTTTGATACAACTTAAGTACCAAGACCAGCGCAAGTGGTCTTCCGGGTAGTGTAGAAATTTTATAGAACCCAAACACGGATAATGGTTAGAAACACTCAAGGCTAGTTAATGGTGCGCTATGGTAAGGATTAAGTCTAGTGGGCTAGATTTTGCTTGATCTAGAAAAGCTGGACATTAGGAAAGGATATTACCTAGGGCTTGTGCGCATGACAGTCGAGTGAAGGCCAAAATGCTTAGCCGCAAAAAGGCGGCCTTGACTCTTAGGGATCGCCATGACAACACGTGATTGAAGTTTGGGATGATGTACTTGCAGTGAAATGAGTAGACGGTGAAGGCTACCAAAATTTAAAAGTTCTACGCATTAGATACATGACTGATGGGCTTTCTTGGTGATGGGTGTAGTCGAAATTGAGCTGATGTAAAAAAAGACATACTTTTTGAGAAGTATGCAGGAAATCAACTTAGAAACACGTGTAAAGAGTAGATATTACAATATTTTTCCGTAAATATATATCCAATCACCAAGCCCCCCCGATTAGTCAAAAAGCATTGCTTTGAAAATATTATCATGTTGATAGCAATGACCGTCTAGTTGCGTACAATTTCTTCTTCTACCCAGCCATTTAAAGAACCTACACTAGATTCTGGAATTGAAAGCCCGTAAGTCTCATTTTTATAGGATCCGTTGCCAGCTGCACCTGAGAAAGAGTTTTGGTAATGATGATTTCTTCTATCACTTTTTCCACTTGTATGTCCATTCATACCAATATCTGCCATCTGTCCATTAGCCTGTTGGGCAAATACTGGTAGGGAGACCGCACGAGAGTGCTGACTCCTGGCTGGTGCAAGAAGTCCATTCATTGTCGGCGCTCCTGATATGGAGTTTTGGTAGCAATTCCCATGGCTATTCGCAGAAGATTGCTGATGGTTCGGCTGATAAGATGAATGTTGAGCTACATCAAGGCCATCTAAGGAATTGGGGGAGTGAGATATGCCGTATAAATTGTTGTGATTAAAAAATCCATTATGATGGTGTTGATGCTGAAGCTGAGCTGCATGATATGGATCTAGAAGAGGCTGTTGAGATTGGTGCTGCTGGACTTGATTAAGATAAATTGTGAGCGGATTGTTGTTCCCTGTATTAATAATGGTCGAAGGAGTGAGTACTGCAGAGTATCTTTGGGTGCCATTAGTGACAGACGACTCAGTGGGTGAGGACCCATTCTGGCTTGGAGGTTGAATGCCTCCACTATCAGGCGTTGGAGAGCTGACTCCGTCACTGCGCGACGAGGGTTGGGTTTGAAGCTGACGAGGGGGATTTCCACATCGATCTTTCCCGAAGTTTACCTTAAATCTTCGATAGTCTTCTTTACCTCGTATAGCTTCAATAGCCTTAATAGCATTTGCTATATTGGTGAAATTAACGAATGCGCAGCTTTTCTCCCTTAGAGTATTTACAAGTTCAATTTCACCATATTCGGAAAAGTCTTGTCGCAATCTTTCCTCGCTCCAGCTCTCGTCCAGATTTCCAATATATACGTTTCTAGAAGCACCACCACTTACTGCAAGAGCTATTGCAGCCGGAAGAGCCCCAGAATGCTTGCCCCATCCAGTTTTTAGCCTGCGGTTATGTATCATTAAGCCTTGCAAATTACTCAACGCATAAAATGACGCCGCTGACGTAGGGTCGATGAAAGTGACAAAACAAATATGCTTGTCGGGTATATAGCGAATATGATGGAGAAGGCCGCCTCTAACAACGTTGCAGATTTCTTCTATGCTAGTTTCTGGATGGATATTTCCCAAGTATACCGTGCGATTACCCAAGTTATTCATTCCACCAGTTGCTGTGGCAACAGCTGCCGCAGCAACAGATTGCTGTGCTAGGGCACTTGATATTAGATCACGATCCGCACCATTTAACACATGTGCATAGCCTGGCGCAATACCAAGATATTGAGCTGCGTTTTGCTGTTGAGTTTTGGAGACGTATGCACATCTATCCTTGCCGTAGTAAACGCGACGTGGCGATTGCCACTTTGTCTCTTGAGGAAGTTGGGAAACTGCCTTCATGGCGTTGCTGATGGAAAGAAAGTGGACGAACCCAATCGACTTTTCCTTAACGATTTTCACAGTGTCGATAGCACCATACTTGCATAGATCTTCACGTAACTCGTCCTCAGTGACACCCTCGTCTAAGTTACCTAGATAGACGTTCCTTGAAGCACCCGACTGTTGCACGGCCAATTGCACCGAGGTAGGAACCTGAGAAGGCTTCCCCCAACCAATCTTAATATCTTGACCCCTAATAGAAAGCTTCTTGAGTATGGCATCAGAATGAAAATGAGTGGCTGCACTACCATCTAGGAAGGAAATAAAAGCGCAGTTCTTGTCAGGAAGTAGTCGTACAGACTCGATCTGCCCGCTACGGACATGCCCTAATATTTCCTCTGCTGAAGTTTCTGGTGGGATGTTACCTAGATATACTGTCCTGCTTGTCCCAGAGGCCAGCCCAGGTGACATTGTTACAGGTGATAGAGGCTGAATTTGCATCTGCTGCATATGGTTTCCAAGGTTCTCAAAGCTAATCGAAGGAGACTGAGGACTATAAAATTGAGGGGCACCGTAAACTGAGGGAGAAACAAGTGATTGATAAATCTGAGGCGAGATTTGTTGTAGCTGTGAATTTAATTCTGACTGTTGATTATTCTGAGGTGGTGTATTCTGTTGTTGAAATGAAGCGTAATTTTGGAACTGAGACGTACCAGACTGGAAGGGAGATCCTAGGAGAAGCTGTGAAGGCAGCAAAGGTGTATAATTCATATCAAAAGCCGTTCCGGGGGTTGGCATGTCATTCTGCTGAAGTTGGTGAATAGGTTGCGTATTAATTGATGGAATGTTGGCTCTCCTTGGGTGGCGATCTCCATACCCACCAACAGGAAATTGATTTGATGGGTATGTTCTATGTGATATTTCTCTAGAACCCTCTGATGATTTGGAGACATGTTCTGGAAATGCGTTTGTCATCGCGATACTAGTTGAATTGTGTTTGTTTGTTGATTTTTCATGCATTTTGACGGGTTGAAATGAATGAAAAGCGCTGCCTTTAATAATTGAAGATTTAATCACCGTTATTGATGTGCAATGCCAATCTATCCGCGATAGATAAACAACTATAAAGTGTTCAGAATAACCTGTACCACACAAAATTTGAACGAACCAAAAATTATTTCTCTAGGAGCTATTTAGTTGCCTATTTCTAACCCAAAGTTTCAGATGAAAGAAAAGTCTTATAGTTGATTAATAGGGGTAAATATTATTATGACTTGTGCAACTCCCGTAGAGTCGAAAACCAAGGCTAACTGAGTTAAGCAAGCTTAATAGTGAGAAGTTTTATTTTTCAAGGCGATTTTGTGCGTAATCTTTGATACGCAAACTTAAAGATATAGAAACCGAGAAGAATAGTGAATATAAAAGTGTGCTTCAGAGGAAAGTAATTGTAAGCTCGATAGCAATTTCACTCATAGCAAGCTATATCTGCCCTGAAAATGAATGTGACAGTATTTTTGAAACAACCAAAAATAAGTGGTAGAATTTAGGGAAATGATGCGAGAAATGGTCGAAAATACGGTTATAATGGATGCGGCAGCGGGTGGTGTTAGATGTATTTAGAAAGGGATAAATGGTAAGTGGGACGGGGGGGAGGGGACGGGGATCCCAAAATGGTATTCCTTCATTTCAGGCTGACGCTAAGCTATAAACGATCATTAGATCAGGGGTGGGAATGCGCAAAGCAGAAGCACGTCCAAACCGGACACCCTTCTTTAAGAATGACAGAGTTCTTTTTATCTTCTTTCCTCTGATAGTTTGCAGAGATCTAGGTCCGCATGATCAGTCCGATCTCGGCTGCCCAAACATCAAAAGTTACGAGTACTCATACCTACATCCCGGCTGTCGTCCAAAGGGAGTATGACGAAATAAAACTCCGACAAGATCAGATGGAAGAAGCTTGTAGAGTGGCAACTAGCTTAGATTGGTTTAAAATTTTGTGGTCGAGTAATTCCAAGCGCTAAGAGAAACAGAAAATCTTGGAATAACATTCCCTTGGAGTTTAGATCGGATGATTCGGGGTACGACCATAATTAAACACCAACGCATGAAGATACAGGGTAATAAATGTAAGCGATCCACTCCATTGCAACACTCGAAGATGAAGGTCCTCTTAGCGAGCAATAAAATATACAGACGAAAATCTTCTGGACACGGTCTTAGTGTAAATAATTGGGGATTATGAAGTGGGCTAGGTTTATTGCGGCAAGGAACCTGTACCGAGACACCATGGCCTCTCTACAATACAACTGAAACGATGATAAGTAGTTTTAAGTCTTTAAAAGAGGATAAACTCTAACAAATAGCTCACAATTAATGCTACTGCTACTGGTATCTGCTGCTTGTGTAAGAGAAAAGTGGAACCGGACTAAGGGAGTGAAGTAGTGCCCGATCAAATTAGAAAAGTCAAACATCTGTTGATCCACGGATTCTTTTTATACGACATGTGTAAATAAGTAAGATACTCGGGCTGGCACAGATGTGTAATGGTTAATTATCATGTTTATTGTCAGAATGAGCTTATGACCATGTAAGGATATATAGGCTCCTCCTGCCTACATACCAGTAGTATCTATGCTTCGGGTAGTGTATTCTCCTATGACAGCCTCACTGCATTTTTACAGCTGTCATATCCCCACAGGTCTTCATTAGCGTACACACTAAAGATAGCCGTTATTCCGTCATTATCACTCTTTGCTAGCTAACGAAACGATGGTCATTTGCGGGTGTGTAGCTTCAGATAAATTTCTCAAAAACCGCTGGGTGCGGAACTCTCCTAACACCAACATCAGGACTGAATCTGAAGAAAGAGCTACCTATCAGAAGCGCTCGATGCGGCTGGCCAGCCCGTTGCAGCAAATATCTACTTCACTTCTAGTGGGAGATCGCTGCTTCGAATCCAACCAGGACCGTTCAAATTTCGCGCGCTCGTCATGCACATGGATGAAGACATAATTGAGAAACCAACAAGTTTTAAACTTCAATTTTCAGGATAACTATGTTAAGTGTTAACTTCATTTTACACACAAACTTACTTCATGATGATCATTGCAAATAAAATCCATAGCTAAGGAATTTTCAGGGATGTGCATTGAATTCAAAGACCCATAGTGTACTCTAGGACCACTGTGGGCAAGGGACGAATAGAGCTGGCTGGAGTCATTGATTCAAACCCAAGTCATTTTCACCGCTTAAATCTACAACAAAACTTGTTTCTCCACAGCACATGTCGATAGCAGAAAATCAAGATGCCTCGAAGACAGATGAATTTACTTTTTGGGTCTCCAACACGCACGTTTGTTATGTTTTCCAACCTTAATCATATATCTATCCAAACATATTACTTCAACCACCGCTGAAAACTGGCGATGAGGGCCAAAGTGCTGCCTTTAGTTGATCATCTTATTTAGTTTTGAAGCTAAGTCCTCGTCGACTCCTCATATCTGAGGTTTAGCCCTTGAATTACCAATGTAAAGAGAATCATGATATTCTTGACTTCGGCGTTTACATGCGCAACAGTCCCAGGTTTTAGAACATAGCCCAAGCTCGCATTACCAGTATATTCGCGTGTACTAGCTTATTCAATTACCACCATTTGATCCTCGATGATGGGGTTAAACACGTTGGTACCAACTGTCATTTTCGGCTCCCTCACCTTTGTAGTCTTCGGTATTTTCAGAACTCAATGCATATCTTGCTCAAGAATTAGGAACAAGTGTTAGAGCAGCGATTTTGATAGACTAATACATGAGGGTAACCGGAGTATTCGTGTGTTTTACAACAGTTTATTATCGCGGCTAAGTCTCGCGTGATTTAATGTTGGCCACACCCCCCGGCTTGTCGAAAAATCGAAATCTGAAGTAATGTTGGTATGACAAAGGTCATACACTACAAGCCAATAGGTTCACTTGAAGTTATGAGAGTACTGCAGTACGTAATGAGAACAATTGTTCGATTGGGTTCGATTGATTATGTATATCTCTCCCCTAAACTATAGCCACGAAGTTGGTATCTATCCTCGGATAATAGTTTACCCGATATAAAAGAATTACAAAGAGAACTGTTATACATCATGCAGGGACCACCAACTCCAAACCCAAGATAGACTCAACCGAATTAATCGTTCCGACACTGGCAATCTCTTCTTTTGTGGGTTAAGTCATCAGATCAATACCGAGCAGCCAAAAGAAAATCATATCCTCTAAGTCTCCAAACTCCTTTTAACCCACCCTTGGACTCGCATCGTAAGTTTGTTATCGTTGATTAGTGTTTCTAATGCACAGTTTGGGTTTGATTTTGTCATCGCATCAGCCGGGTTATCCGCACCGTGAATCCATCGAATGTCAGAAATTTCATGATTTTCGTACGCCTGGCGAAGGGCCATGATATCAATCATGAGTCTCTTTTCCTTCGTTGACCCGAGCTTGACCAGACATTCATATAACGAGAAGGAATCCGTACAGACAACAACCGGGATTGAAGGTACACCAAGCTGCGCCACAATATTGCAAATCGTCGTATTGATAGCAACAGTGACATCGACACCGTTAGACATTGCATATATTTCTGAGGCGAGAATGCTTCTTATCACCCTTTTGCATTTTGTTGAAGACCAGTGTAGGATATTACCATTAATTGTGAAAGAGTCGTTTCCTGCTTCTTCATTAGCTAGGACAATGACATAGCCGATTTGTGAGCTTAGATCTCTATTGTTGGCGAAAGATCCGTCGACAAAAACGAAGAGACGCATTGAGTCTATGTCGAGCGGGATATACGTCAGTCCGCGGCTAACATTCTTGATCTGCCAACTAATACGCTTGTTCAACCTGGCAATATCTTCTTTTAGAGGTTCCTTGTATTGAGCTGCCGCAGATAAATCAAAGCTGGCTTCAGGTTGACAAATTGTAGCAAGGTATGCACCCCGAGCGCGTTGTTCAACGTATTCGTGAGTATTCGAGACGAGTTTCAGCTTTTCACCTTGGTTCTTCTGTTTTAGTAAGAGGATATCGTTCGGCTGCCTTGACAGAATACAGCCATTAAACATCAATGGGTTATTCTCATCAAGAAATTGCTTTTCTTTCGCTTTGAAGTTGGCCTTATGAAGTTCATCTTCCTCTTGCTTTGCAAACGCCGCGTCCGTCATACCCAATGTATCATCAGTTTGCATTCCGACAACGCCAAAATATCTAGAACTTTTGGTTGTCATTAACAAGCATGGGTCATATGTTGAAGTTGTCATGTGTAGTTTTTCACAGTGATGCTTAAAATATGTAGCCCACCAATGAGCTCCAGCCTCTGCTATCCCGTAGAGTGGTTTGATGACGACCATAATAGTGTTATCTGGGTAGTAACCACGAATTTGCTCGGGTGGATATGCTAGAATAGTTCTTTGAAGTTTAGTTTGTGATTGCACATATGCTTGTGTGATATCACGAAGCCAAAGGTGCATGCCACGTTTGATCATTGATGGTGCTAGGGCCATAATAATTCGTTGACTAGCCCGCTGTATAGTTGGGCTTTGGGTTAGTACTGTTTTCTTTCCCTCATCATTGTAACCTTGGACTACTAGGCGTGATTTTTCATACGGGGTCTCAGTAAGCTTTCCTTTAATTTCGCGTACTATGCGAGACTTGAAGATTCGTATTTCACGGTGTTTTTGAGGGTCGAATTTTTCAAAGCGAAAGACGCCGCGCCCGATGAGAGATTCAATCTCTAAGCGATCTGACTCTTCAAATGGCTTGCCAGGGGTGGTTATTTTTCCTTCTCGACGTAGCCTGAGTGCCAAGGCTGCATCATGCTTCTCTTTTTCTGACATCCAAGTTGTGTAGGGGGTATTTTCTATGGCTATTTGCTTTGGAATATTCTTCGATCCTCTTGGACGTCCACGCTTACGTTTTTCGGTTTCCTTTTGCAGTGGTTCCTCATAGTCGTCATTGTCAGGCTCGTGACTCTGGGGTTCAGTG